TTTCCTTCCTTTTGCGTGCCGTCTAGGGGGTGCATTCCACGGGGCAACCGAACCGTTTCAGCGACATCTGTCCTGCCCCTACTACGCCCTCTGTTTCAACACCAGTCGAGGCAGCTGGCCATCGTCGACCCGAGCCTGCAGCTCAAGCCCATCGCCAGCAACACCACGGCCAGCTCCTCTGCTACTTGATACCCGCCCTAGAGTCCGCCGCCGCCCCCAGAACCCTCGCTCACTCCCAACCCAACCGGCCCAACCTCGCAACCGCGAGCCGCCGCGCGCCCTCCTTGGCTTGCTCACTACCCCGTCGACCGCCTCCTCGACACCCACCCCCCAACCAACCCCAGGCCTCACTAACCCCCCCCCGCGCCCTTGGATGTGTACGCGCCTTTGCCCAATCCCCTAAGGTGCGACACCACGACCAGCCATCGTCACGGTCGACCGACACGTCGTTGACCGGACGCTCGCCCACGCACGCGCACCGGCACTCCAGCCGGCCCTTGTACCATCATCACCACCACCACCACCATCATCATCACGCCCATCGCCCCAGCATCAGCCCGCCATCTCCCAGCCATGGTCTCCTTCAGCCTCACCTCGGCCCTCGTGGCTGCCTCCATGGTCATGGCCGTCTCTGCCGACTCGGGCACCAAGACCATCAAGAACCCCATTACAACACCCACCGTCACGCTGCCCGCCAGCGCCATGACAAGCGTCGGCTGCTTCGCGACAGGCATACCCCTCGAGAACCACGGCCCTTACAACTTCCAGTCGCCCGGTAACTGCCAGCTGGTATGTCTGCAGCTCGACAAGAACGTCATGGGCTTGTCCGACGGTGAAAACTGTTGGTGCGGAGACGAAATCCCTGCAAAGGCATGGCAGGTCAAGAACGAGACATGCAGCACCACATGTTCTGGTGACGACACCACTGGCTGTAAGTACAAGATGCGACGTGTGCCCAGTCGCCCATGCTAACCAGTTCTGTAGGTGGTGGTAAAGATCTTCTGTGGGTTGTGCTCACAGGCAACACAAGGAATTCCGTCGACTACTTCCAGCCATCATCATCATCATCCATCAGCAGCTCCATCGCACCAAAGACATCCAGCACCCAGGCAACATCTTCCGAAACCCCCACGGCCACTGCCACGCCAAGTGCTGCGCCTGTGCAAAACGACAAACCCAACACAGTCGCCATCGCCGTCGGTGTGGTTGTCGGCATACTCGCCCTGTCGGCAATCCTGTTCGGTGTATGGTTCTTGTTGCGCCGGAAGCGTCAGCAGCAGGCTGAAGAGGATTACCGCCGCAACGCCGCCAATGCGAATGCCTTTGTTGGCAGCGGCAAGCTGCACACCAGCAACTCGTCCATGAACGACTCCCGCCTGGACCCCAGCTTCATGGACCGAAGGCAGAGCAACGGCAGCATCGCAGACAACGAGGACTACTCGAGGCGGATATTGAAGGTATAACACGCCTCCAAATCACAACGTGACTCCCACGGGCTAACACTGAGTAGGTGACCAACGTATGAGCGCCAAACTAAAAGGCACTTGGCGCAGCCAGTGCGCCCTAGCCATCGGCCCTTTCTACGATCAGAGGCGCTGACGAACAATACTTGCATACCCTCCCTCGACACCGCAAACACCTAATCTCCTTCATCTCATGTCTCGCACTCTGGTGTGCGCGATCACGCATTGACGACGAGAGTAAGAATCATCTTGCGATTTAGCCCGTTACTATTCAGTACGACGGAAACACCTTGAGCCAGCATTGAACGAGGACAAGAAGGATTTGTAGCAGCAGAGTCTTTCCGTCCCTCTCCGTGTTATATTCCCGAAATTCTTTTTGTTCCTTTTCTTATTTCCTTCTCTCTGGGCGTTTTTTTCTGGGCGTGTTAGATACCGGGCAATTGAAATGGGCAACTTTACAAACTACATCTGGCGCACATACTTTGCGGGCACCACGGTCGCTCCCTTTTTATCTTGTTCTTTGTCATGGGTCGGTAATATTACGTCCCCGCCATTCGTTATTCCATCAGCAGCTCAAAGGCTTTGTCCTGCTTCCCTTTTTACAATCTCTCTCACTCTCTCTCACAAACATATATACATCACATGGCCGTCTGTCGTCGTAGTAGGACCCGATCAACCAGGCGCCCATAGTCGATTTCTAGCTACTCTCTATCTATCACCTCGGCCAATCAAAAAATTAATCAAACACGGGTTATCTTGTTGTTGTTGTTGATGATGATGATGATGATGATGTTGCTGATGATGTTGAAGAGGCAGATGGAGAAAAAAGCAAACGCATGACTCCAAGTCGACATGTTTCCTTGGCAGTACGAAAAAGGATGACGGGTACATGGATACATGTACACACATACATGTACTTACACACAGGATGATTCCCGTGACGACGGTGTGTGACTTGCCAGGCTCCCAACAAAAAAAAAGGCACAGGCACGCGTCCCGCCTTGTACGGCCATGTGGTGACAATGACACACACACACACACACACACACACAATGCCTTTGCCATGCTAAGTATGACACGCAACGCTTCTTCACAGTCTCACGCTTACTTTCTCACTCACTACCTGTATATAGTTACATACAAACCCCAACCCGTCTTTCCCGCCCCTCTCCATCCCCTGGTCGTCTCAAATTTCTTTACCCCCCCCTTCTTTTAAAAAAAAACCCTTTTGCACCTCCGCATTTGCCGTCTCTGAGGGCGGTGAGGGGGTGCTGGTGCGGGTGCTGGTGCTGGTGCTGGTGCGTTTTGCGGGCGGGGTTTGGAGGGTTTAGAGGTTAGGGGGGGGGGGGGGGGAACA